CCATGGTACTAGTGAAGTACCACCATGGTACTAGTGAATTACCACCATGGTACTAGTGAATTACCACCATGGTACTTGTGACGTACCACCATGGCACTAGTGAAGTACCACCATGGTACTAGTGAAGTACCACCATGGTACTAGTGAAGTACCACCATGGTACTAGTGAAGTACCACCATGGTACTAGTGAAGTACCACCATGGTACTAGTGACGTACCACCATGGTACTAGTGACGTACCACCATGGTACTAGTGAAGTACCACCATGGTACTAGTGACGTACCACCATGGTACTAGTGAAGTACCACCATGGTACTAGTGAAGTACCACCATGGTACTAGTGAAGTACCACCATGGTACTAGTGAAGTACCACTATAGTACTAGTGAAGTACCACTATGGTACTAGTGACGTACCACCATGGTACTAGTGAAGTACCACCATGGTACTAGTGAAGTACCACCATGGTACTAGTGAAGTACCACCATGGTACTAGTGAAGTACCACCATGGTACTAGTGAAGTACCACCATGGTACTAGTGAAGTACCACTATGGTACTAGTGAAGTACCACTATGGTACTAGTGAAGTACCACCATGGTACTAGTGACGTACCACCATGGTACTAGTGAAGTACCACCACGGTACTAGTGAAGTACCACCATGGTACTAGTGAAGTACCACCATGGTACTAGTGACGTACCACCACGGTACTAGTGAAGTACCACCATGGTACTAGTGACGTACCACCACGGTACTAGTGAAGTACCATCATGGTACTAGTGAAGTACCACCATGGTACTAGTGAAGTACCACCATGGTACTAGTGAAGTACCACCATGGTACTAGTGACGTACCACCACGGTACTAGTGAAGTACCACCATGGTACTAGTGAAGTACCACCATGGTACTAGTGAAGTACCACTATGGTACTAGTGAAGTACCACTATGGAACTAGTGAAGTACCACCATGGTACTAGTGACGTACCACCATGGTACTAGTGAAGTACCACCACGGTACTAGTGAAGTACCACCATGGTACTAGTGAAGTACCACAATGGTACTAGTGACGTACCACCACGGTACTAGTGAAGTACCACCATGGTACTAGTGAAGTACCACCATGGTACTAGTGACGTACCACCATGGTACTAGTGACGTACCACCACGGTACTAGTGAAGTACCACCATGGTACTAGTGAAGTACCACCATGGTACTAGTGAAGTACCACCATGGTACTAGTGAAGTACCACCATGGTACTAGTGACGTACCACCACGGTACTAGTGAAGTACCACCATGGTACTAGTGACGTACCACCACGGTACTAGTGACGTACCACCACGGTACTAGTGAAGTACCACCATGGTACTAGTGACGTACCACCACGGTACTAGTGAAGTACCACCACGGTACTAGTGAAGTACCACCACGGTACTAGTGACGTACCACCACGGTATTAGTGACGTACCACCACGGTACTAGTGAAGTACCACCACGGTACTAGTGAAGTACCACCATGGTACTAGTGAAGTACCACCATGGTACTAGTGAAGTACCACCACGGTACTAGTGAAGTACCACCACGGTACTAGTGAAGTACCACCATGGTACTAGTGAAGTACCACCATGGTACTAGTGAAGTACCACCATGGTACTAGTGAAGTACCACCATGGTACTAGTGAAGTACCACCATGGTACTAGTGAAGTACCACCATGGTACTAGTGAAGTACCACCATGGTACTAGTGAAGTACCACCACGGTACTAGTGAAGTACCACCACGGTACTAGTGAAGTACCACCACGGTACTAGTGAAGTACCACCATGGTACTAGTGAAGTACCACCATGGTACTAGTGAAGTACCACCATGGTACTAGTGAAGTACCACCATGGTACTAGTGAAGTACCACCATGGTACTAGTGACGTACCACCATGGCACTAGTGATGTACCACCATGGTACTAGTGAAGTACCACCATGGTACTAGTGAAGTACCACCATGGTACTAGTGAAGTACCACCATGGTACTAGTGACGTACCACCATGGTACTAGTGAAGTACCACCATGGTACTAGTGAAGTACCACCATGGTACTAGTGACGTACCACCATGGTACTAGTAACGTACCACCATGGTACTAGTGACGTACCACCACGGTACTAGTGAAGTACCACCATGGTACTAGTGAAGTACCACCATGGTACTAGTGAAGTACCACCATGGTACTAGTGAAGTACCACCACGGTACTAGTGACGTACCACCACGGTACTAGTGAAGTACCACCATGGTACTAGTGACGTACCACCACGGTACTAGTGACGTACCACCATGGTACTAGTGAAGTACCACCACGGTACTAGTGACGTACCACCACGGTACTAGTGAAGTACCACCACGGTACTAGTGAAGTACCACCACGGTACTAGTGACGTACCACCACGGTACTAGTGACGTACCACCACGGTACTAGTGAAGTACCACCATGGTACTAGTGAAGTACCACCATGGTACTAGTGAAGTACCACCACGGTACTAGTGAAGTACCACCACGGTACTAGTGAAGTACCACCACGGTACTAGTGAAGTACCACCATGGTACTAGTGAAGTACCACCATGGTACTAGTGAAGTACCACCATGGTACTAGTGAAGTACCACCATGGTACTAGTGAAGTACCACCATGGTACTAGTGAAGTACCACCATGGTACTAGTGAAGTACCACCATGGTACTAGTGAAGTACCACCACGGTACTAGTGAAGTACCACCACGGTACTAGTGAAGTACCACCATGGTACTAGTGAAGTACCACCATGGTACTAGTGAAGTACCACCATGGTACTAGTGAAGTACCACCATGGTACTAGTGAAGTACCACCATGGCACTAGTGATGTACCACCATGGTATTAGTGAAGTACCACCATGGTACTAGTGAAGTACCACCATGGTACTAGTGAAGTACCACCATGGTACTAGTGACGTACCACCATGGTACTAGTGAAGTACCACCATGGTACTAGTGAAGTACCACCATGGTACTAGTGACGTACCACCATGGTACTAGTGAAGTACCACCATGGTACTAGTGAAGTACCACCATGGTACTAGTGACGTACCACCATGGTACTAGTGACGTACCACCATGGTACTAGTGAAGTACCACCATGGTACTAGTGAAGTACCACCATGGTACTAGTGAAGTACCACCATGGTACTAGTGAAGTACCACCATGGTACTAGTGAAGTACCACCATGGTACTAGTGAAGTACCACCATGGTACTAGTGACGTACCACCATGGTACTAGTGAAGTACCACCATGGTACTAGTGAAGTACCACTATGGTACTAGTGAAGTACCACCATGGTACTAGTGAAGTACCACTATGGTACTAGTGAAGTACCACTATGGTACTAGTGAAGTACCACCATGGTACTAGTGAAGTACCACCATGGTACTAGTGAAGTACCACTATGGTACTAGTGACGTACCACCATGGTACTAGTGAAGTACCACCATGGTACTAGTGAAGTACCACCATGGTACTAGTGAAGTACCACTATGGTACTAGTGAAGTACCACCATGGTACTAGTGAAGTACCACATGGTACTAGTGAAGTACCACTATGGTACTAGTGAAGTACCACCATGGTACTAGTGAAGTACCACCATGGTACTAGTGACGTACCACCATGGTACTAGTGAAGTACCACCATGGTACTAGTGAAGTACCACCATGGTACTAGTGAAGTACCACCATGGTACTAGTGAAGTACCACCATGGTACTAGTGAAGTACCACTATGGTACTAGTGAAGTACCACCATGGTACTAGTGAAGTACCACCATGGTACTAGTGAAGTACCACCATGGTACTAGTGAAGTACCACCATGGTACTAGTGAAGTACCACCATGGTACTAGTGAAGTACCACCATGGTACTAGTGAAGTACCACCATGGTACTAGTGAAGTACCACCATGGTACTAGTGAAGTACCACCATGGTACTAGTGAAGTACCACTATGGTACTAGTGAAGTACCACCATGGTACCATCATAACCACATAATCCAATCCCTGTATCACACCCATGATTTTAATAAATAATAGTAAGATAAGAATATAAAAATAAAACAACAAAATAATAATTAATAATGATAGTAATAAATTATTTCATAATAATAATTTAATAATGTACGGCAGGTGTGGGGGAGGGGAGTGGTGAGATTCATCCAAAGGGCAAGCAGGTAACTGTGTCCCTTAACCCCTGGTCAGTCACACCCACACACCTCCCAGGCTAAACAACCCCCAACTCTCCCCACAACTTCCATCCTCCAGGCACATCACCCTCCTGCTACCGTGCGCACCCTGCAACACCCCACCTCCCCACACACAAGTGTTTCACTCCTTGGCTAATATTTCAACAGTATATGGTGGGGGAAGACAGGTGTCACTCTCCACCACAGTCGTACCACACTTCTCACAGAGCGGGGTCACTCCTACCACACCAGCCGACCAATCACAGCAATGACATGATATACAGAAAAACCCTGGTTATGCAATCCATTTTGGGCAAATTATGTTTTGTCCCCAGGATGCGACCCACACCGGTCGACTAACACCCACGTACCCATTTACTGCTAAGTAAACAGGAGCAGCAGATGTCTTAAGGAAACATTCCTGAATGTTTCCACCCATACCGGAGATCAAACCACGGACAATCAATGTGCGAGCTGAGTGCGCTACCAACCGAGCTACGGGACACATAGAACACTAGAATGTGAGTAATAAAAAGAATCAATATGATATATGGATATTTTTTGTGTAATTATGATTGATTCGTCTGTTTATACACCCAGTGTGTGGGTCTCTAACACACTATTTTGTCAGAGTATTCTGTATGTCCTGAACATATCTCCTCGTCTTCAACGTCCTTGCAGAGGCGATACAAGAAGTCAGTCCTGACTCTGTGGGTTACATTCTTCCGCCTGGTTAAATTAAAAAATAAAATTATACATTAAATAGTGAGGGACCTCTGATGCTACCCAGGGGTAACACTGACCCCTAATAATACTTCCCAGGGGTACCACTGACCCAATACACTTCCCATGGGACCACTATATTTCCCAGAGGTAGGGTTCCCAGGGGCCAGGATGTCAGGTCTAGGTAGGGTTCCCAGGGGCCAGGATGTCAGGTCTAGGTAGGGGCCAGGATGTCAGGTCTAGGTAGGGGCCAGGATGTCAGGTCTAGCAGGGTTCCCAGCGGCCACGTCTAGGTCGGGTTCCCTGGGGCCAGTTACCTTACTTGTAAGGGAAGAAACTTGTCACAATACAGAGAAGAGTGAAGACACCTGCGATGAACGTCACAATAACCAAGATACGGTCCATCTTCTCTTGATGTTCTTCCATCTTCTTACGTTCCTTCTTGTGTTCGATAGTGTGGATTAACATTTTAAGTTTATGAGCGGTAAATTCATCAAGCTGCTGCTCCTCCGTCGTTGCTCCTTGTTCCTTCCTGAGGTCATCAACTTTTACCTTATCAGTTCCTTCTGTCTCGCTGAGGTTATCATCAAGCTTGACCTTCTCACTCTCTTCTTTCTCCCTGAGATCATCAAGCTTGACCCCAGTTCCTTCTTCCTCCCTGAGATCATCAAGCTTGACCTCAGTTTCGTCTTCTTCCCTGAGATCATCAAGCTTGACCTCAGTTTCGTCTTCTTCCCTGAGATCATCAAGCTTGATCTCAGTTTCGTCTTCCTCCTCGAGATTATCTTCCTCTTGTACGTTCACTTTGGGGGTTTCTTCCAGAACTTGCGTTGTTGTCAGAGAGTTGGGTCGGAGATCGTCACTTACAACACTGTGTAAACTCACATATTCCCGTCGCTGGAAGTTAACTGTTTCCGTAAGACTCTTAATGTGATCAGCTTGAATCTCGTTCTCTCTGATGAGACTACTGGCCACTTCGGAAACCTTTTTAAAACGGCGTTTATATTTTGCAGCATACTTTTCCGTGGGCTTAACCTGACTTTTAAGATGTGTGAGGTTAGCGGCCAGACTCTCACACTCCTCGCTCTTGATAACTAACTGATCCTCAACAAACAACAACTCTTTCTGTAAAGTTACGTAAACATCCAGCAAATCATTATTCAGTTCGCTATCCTGTTCTTTCAGCAGTTGAAGCTCTTCTTCAATCTGAGCACTGTGCTTTTTCTCTGCCTCCAAAGTAGCTTCGAGCTGAACACTCTGCTGCTTCTCTGCCTCCAAGGCAGCTTTGAGCTGAGCACTGTGCTTTTTCTCTGCCTCCTGGTGTAAACTCAGATATTCCCGTCGCTGGAAGTTAACTGTTTCCGTAAGACGCTTAATTTGATTAGCTTGAATCTCGTTCTTTTTGATGAGATTCTTGGCCACTTCAGAAACCTTTTTAAAAGGGCGTTTATATTTCCCAGTATTCAGTTCGCTATTCTGTTCTTTCAGCAGTTGAAGCTCTTCTTCAAGTTGAGCACTGTGCGTTTTCTCTGCCTCCAAGTTAGCTTTGAGTTGAGCACTGTGCTTTTTCTTTGTCTCCAAGGTAGCTTTGAGCTGAGCACTCTGCTTTTTCTCTGCCTCCAAGGTAGCTTTGAGCTGAGCACTCTGCTTTTTCTCTGCCTCCAAGGTAGCTTTGAGCTGAGCACTGTGCTTTTTCTCTGCCTCCAAGTTAGCTTTGAGTTGAGCACTGTGCTTTTCCTCTGTCTCCAAGGTAGCTTTGAGTTGAGCACTGTGCTTTTTCTCTGTCTCCAAGGTAGCTTTGAGCTGAGCACTCTGCTTTTTCTCTGCCTCCAAGGTAGCTTTGAGCTGAGCACTCTGCTTTTTCTCTGCCTCCAAGGTAGCTTTGAGCTGAGCACTCTGCTTTTTCTCTGCCTCCAAGGTACCTTCAATCTCGTCACAGTACTCAAACTCGACTTTCATCACTTTCTACATCTGTACCCTGAATACTTCCCCTTCGTTAATCTTCAGTGTTGCGGAGTTTAAAGCATCTTCAAGTTGCTCCCTGTACGACTTCTCTTCCTTCAAAGTACTCGCCAGCTGTTTACTGTACTCGATTACATCGTCGAGCTGCTGTCGTCCGTCTTTCATAGCGCTCTCCACCAGTACATCTTGGTGTTCGTCGTCCACTGCATCAGCTGGGTGCTCTTCCTCTGTACCACCGACGTTTTCATCCACTGCACCAGCTGGGTGCTCTTCCTCTGTACCACCGAGGTTTTCATCCACTGCACCAGCTGGGTGCTCTTCCTCTGTACCACCGAGGTTTTCATCCACTGCACCAGCTGGGTGCTCTTCCTCTGTACCACCGACGTTTTCATCCACTGCACCAGCTGGATGCTCTTCCTCTGTACCACCGAGGTTTTCATCCACTGCACCAGCTGGGTGCTCTTCCTCTGTACCACCGAGGTTTTCATCCACTGCACCAACTGGGTGCTCTTCCTCTGTACCACCGAGGTTTTCATCCACTGCACCAGCTGGGTGCTGCTTTTCCTCTGTACCACCGAGGTTATATTCCCAGAAGTCGTCAGTGTCGGTGTTGGAGTAGTCTTCGTCGGAGTCCCAGAAGTCGTCAGTGTCGGTGTCGGAGTAGTCTTCGTCGGAGTCCCAGAAGTCGTCACTGTCCAAGTCGTCGGTGTCGGAGTAGTCTTCGTCAGTGTCCCTGAAGTCGTCATATTCCCAGTAGTCTTCGTCAGTGTCCCAGTAGTCTTCGTCAGTGTCGGAGTAGTCTACGTCGGTGTCGGAGAATTCATCGTCCATGTAGGTGTATCCGCCAGGGAAGCCCAGGTAACCACGAGGTCGTTCACCACGTTTCTCCACGTCGCCTACATATCCGTGATCCAGACCACCTCCCTGGAGGTCAGGAAGCCCAGGGTCAACCAGTCCTTCTCCCTGGACGTCAGGAGGAAGACCAAGCCCAGGGTCAAGCAGTCCTCCCTGGAGGTGAGGAAGCCCAGGGTCAAACCCTCTCTGGCGGTCACGAAGTTTAAGATTAATGCCCAGGTGGGCAGGTCGCCACCCATCATCTTGGTCAACAACAGTGTCAACACCAGACACAAGTATCGTCACCACAACGATCAAGAAATTTATCAACAAATTCATTTTCATATAATTCATATTTGATTTTTTTTTCTTATTCTTCTGAGAGAGATTTTGAGATGATGACGCGAGTGATGGACTGGAGATGGAAGGTTGAAACCTATGTGAAGGCTCGATCCTCCGTAGCTCCGCGTGGATCATTCCTCTTATGAAGGCTCGATCCTCCGTAGCTCCGCGTGGATCATTCCTCTTATGAAGGCTCGATCCTCCGTCACCAGCTTCTCCAAGCTAACTTGTCCATCCTGATGAACAGTAGTAATAGACCAGGAGTGCTAAACCCCGAGGGGTCATACAGTGCTTGGGGAATAGAAGACAATCAGATTCGATGCAAGGAAGTGAAGATGAGCTCCACTTCCTTGGACCAAGAGCCATCCACGAACCTCGGGGCACCTGCTTTTAGGGAAAAACTTGCGTGGTACCTGTAGTAGTTGTAGTGTGGTTGTAGTAGTTGTAGTAGTGATTGTAGTAGTTGTAGTGTGGTTGTAGTAGTGCTTGTAGTAGTTGTAGTGTGGTTGTAGTAGTGCTTGTAGTAGTTGTAGTGTGGTTGTAGTAGTTGTAGTGTGGTTGTAATAGTTGTAGTGTGGTTGTATTAGTTGTAGTGTGGTTGTAGTAGTTGTAGTGTGGTTGTAGTAGTTGTAGTGTGGTTGTAATAGTTGTAGTAGTTGTAGTGTGGTTGTAATAGTTGTAGTGTGGTTGTAGTAGTTGTAGTGTGGTTGTAGTAGTTGTAGTGTGGTTGTAGTAGTTGTAGTGTGGTTGTAGTAGTGATTGTAGTTGTAGTGTGGTTGTAGTAGTTGTTAGTTGTGGTTGTAATAGTTGTAGTGTGGTTGTAGTAGTTGTAGTGTGGTTGTAATAGTTGTAGTGTTGTTGTATTAGTTGTAGTGTGGTTGTAGTAGTTGTAGTGTGGTTGTAGTAGTGATTGTAGTAGTTGTAGTGTGGTTGTAGTAGTTGTAGTGTGGTTGTAATAGTTGTAGTGTGGTTGTAGTAGTTGTAGTGTGGTTGTAATAGTTGTAGTGTGGTTATAGTAGTTGTAGTGTGGTTGTAGTAGTTTGTAGTGTGGTTGTAGTAGTTGTAGTGTGGTTGTAGTAGTTGTAGTAGTGATTGTAGTAGTTGTAGTGTGGTTGTAGTAGTTGTAGTGTGGTTGTAATAGTTGTAGTGTGGTTGTAGTAGTTGTAGTGTGGTTGTAATAGTTGTAGTGTGGTTGTAGTAGTTGTAGTGTGGTTGTAGTAGTTGTAGTGTGGTTGTAGTTGTAGTGTGGTTGTAGTAGTTGTAGTGTGGTTGTAGTAGTTGTAGTGTGTTTGTAGTAGTGATTGTAGTAGTTGTAGTGTCGTTGTAGTTGTAGTGTGGTTGTAATAGTTGTAGTGTGGTTGTAGTGTGCTTGTAGTTGTAGTGTGGTTGTAATAGTTGTAGTGTGCTTGTAGTAGTTGTAGTGTTGGTTTGTAGTAGTTGTGTAGCAGTGATTGTAGTTGTAGTGGTTGTAGTTGTAGCAGTTGTAGTGTTTGTAGTAGTTGTAGCAGTTGTAGTGGTTGTAGTAGTTGCAGTGGTTGTAGTAGTTGTAGTGGTTGTAGTTGCAGCAGTTGTAGTAGTTATACTGGCAGTAGTAGTTGTAGTAGTTGAAGTGGTTGTAGTTGTAGTGGTTGTAGTAGTTGCAGTGGTTGTAGTTGTAGTGGTTGTAGTAGTTGTAGTGGTTGTAGTAGTTGTAGTGGTTGTAGTTGTAGCAGTTGTAGTGGTTGTAGTTGTAGTGGTTGTAGTTGTAGTGGTTTTAGTGGTTGTAGTAGTTGTAGTGGTTGTAGTGGCTGTAGTAGTTGCAGTGGTTGTAGTTGTAGTGGTTGTAGTAGCTGTAGTAGTTGTAGTAGTTATAGTGGCTGTAGTAGTTGTAGTAGTTGTAGTGGCTGTAGCAGTTTTAGTAGTTGTAGTGGTTGTAGTAGTTTTAGTGGCTGTAATGGTTGTAGTAGTTGTAGTAATTGTAGTAGTTGTAGTGGTTGTAGTTGTAGTGGCTGTAGTGGTTGTAGCTGTAGAAGTTGTAGTGGTTGTAGTAGTTGTAGTGGTTGTAGGAGTAGTAATATATATATTATATAATTATATATATATATATATATATATATAGTTGTAATTATTTATTATTATTGATGCCAGGTTTTTTCGCTTTTTTTGTTTTGTTTTTACTTTTTCAGTTTGATTTCGCTGGTAGCTCCTCGAGAATGCCTCGTCCTATAGACTTCAAATTTCCAAGGATACGCCAGGATTGTGACAACAGTTGACAGGTGCCTTGTGTCCTCCTGGAATGCCTCGGATAACTTTCCAAACACATTCTTCTCCAGGCTGAGGGACTGACCACCTCAGATACTATTTCTCCAAGGTTGATGGACTGACTACATCATCTTCGCTACTACACCTGCTGCCTCTGTATTTGACTGAAGAAGCCTACTGTGTCTTAATAATCAACTTGTCGGTATTTTATATAATTTTCAACAGTTGGGATGGTAGATAAATGGTACAGAGTCTCGACAAGTTATTATGGGAACGTTTCGCCACACAATGGCTTCATCAGTCCGGTATAAAGAAGAATAATGATTAGAAAGAGTTTGAGGTAATCAGTCCCTCGGTCTGGAGTTGATGTGATCACATGGACTCCAGGCTGAGGGACTGATTACCTCACACTCCTTCCGATCTTGACTATTCTTTTTTTTTTGTAAATAAATGGTATAAAATACAGACACGATGGAAAAATAAACACACATTCAGTGTAAAGCGATCCTCTATTGACAACGTTTCGCCCACACAGTAGACTTTATCAAGTCACAAACAGATCTGTTTGTCTTGATAAAGCCCAGTGTGTGAGCGAAACGCTGTCAGTAAACGATCGTATTATATTGCATATGTTCGATTCCCGGCGATTTCCTTACACCGGTTGTCTATGTTCCCCATCGGTAAAATGGGTACCTGGGTGTTAGTGGATTGGTATGGGTCGCATCCTGGGACAAAACTGACCTAATTTGCCCGAAATGCTGTACATAACAAGGGGCTTTATATACAGTAGTATGTCACTGATGTCAGCTATGGTCTGTATACTTTGTACATGTAATTGTAGAAATAAGATATTATTATTATACCGGAGCATTGAACTCTAGGGACACAGCACACACTTCCCGCTCCACCAACACTATTATTAAGCACTTGGGAAGGGAGACTCAAGCCTATTTACATTCTCACATTACTTAGGAAAACTGCAACAAAAATTATGCCAATCTGAATACAAACAATGTGACTTGAAGATCAGTTCTATTCCTGTGTCTAAATAAATTTATACTTACCTTGGTAGCACAAGCTATCAGGTCCATGAGTGAACCATTCATCTACAAACATGTGCAACTCTTGGGTATCTTTATTGAGGAAACGTTTCGCTACACAGTGGCTTCATTGGCTTAAGCCGGTAGGAGACTTGGACCTGCCTCGCATGGGCCAGTAGGCCTGCTGCAGTGTTCCTTCGTTCTTATGTTCTTAACAAAGGGATACAGGATCATCTGGAGAATTTAATGAACAGTAAGTGACACTTGGAATCCCCAAGAATCAGCGTATGTGGATCCCTGGTGTCGTTGTACCACCCATGATACGTGCACACTTAAGAGTGCTTCCTGGTAACCCTCAGCAACCATCCAGCTGACACACGCATCGTGCTTTTTTTTTTTAAATATGCCTACTGTGGTTTAATATTCATTGGTTTATTCCGGTTAAGGAAAGCAGTGCTACAAATAGCTGAGGGTGACGTGAGACAAACTGATAATAATATAAAAGCCTTTATTTCTACAAGTACACGTATAATGTATACC